AAATCAAGAGTTGGAAGCTTGGGGCACCTGGGTAGCTCAGTTGGTTAAGCGACTGCCTTCGGCTCGGGTCATGATCTCAGGGTCCTGGGATCAAGCCCCACGTCGGGCTCCCTGCTCGGCAGGAGGCCTGCTTCTCCCTCTCCCACTCTCCCTGCTTGTGTTCCCTCTCTTGCTGTCTCTCTCTGTCAAATAAATGAATAGAATCTTAAAAAAAAAAAAAAAATCGGATGCTTAACCAACTGAGGCACCCAGGCACCCCTCAAGGACACTATTTTTTAAATTCAACTTCTCTTTTGCCATTTTTGTTGTTTTTTTGCCTCTCATCGTCCCACTTTGGCTGCCACAGTTCCAGACATCACATCTCAACCTCCAAAGGCCTCATCCCCAAGCAACTGACCTGTCACTTCCTGGCTGAAAGTAGGACATATCTATGCCCAAAGCAATCCCTGTCAGGGGGAAGGGAATATCGGGTAAAAAGTTAAGAACTGGTACCTGGGGGTGGGAGAGACCCAGTACCCCACCCCCCCACCTCTTTCCCTCACCCTTGACCCCTCCTTGACTCAACAGTGGCAATTTCATAGAAGGAAGAAAGGGGATGGCTTTTCACTTGTTAGTAAATGTTCTGATGCTAGAAGCCCAGGGCATTGTGGGAATATTATTTATGGAGCATGTATTAGTTGGTTAGGGCTGCATAACAAAGTGCCACAGACTGGGTGGCTTAAACAACAAATTTATTTTCTCATGGTTCTGGAGGCTAGAAGTTCAAGATGAAGGTGTTGGCAGGGTTGATTTCTTTCCTTTGTTTTTTTAAAGTTTTTTTTAAAGATTTATTTATTTATTAGAGAGAGAGAGAGCACGAGCTGCAGGGAGGGCCAGAGGGAGAGGGAGAAGCAGACTCCCTGCTGAACAAGGAGCCCAATGCGGGACTCAATCCTAGGACCCTGGGGGCGCCTGGCTGGCTCAGATGGTTAAGCATCTGCCTTCGGCTCAGGTCATGATCCCAAAGTCCTGGGATCGAGTCCCGCATCGGGCTCCCTGCTCCTTGGGAGCCTGCTTCTCCCTCTGCCTCTCTCTCTCTGTCTCTCATGAATAAATAAATAAAATCTTAAAAAAAAAAAAAAATCCTAGGACCCTGGGATCATGACCTGAGCCGAAGGCAGATGCTTAACCGACTAAGCCACCCAGCTGCCTCTAATCTCTTCTTTTAAGGACTCCAGTCATTGGATTATGGCCCCCCATATGACAGTTTACTTTAATTACCTCTTTAAAGACCCTGTCCAAATATAGTCACATTCTGAGGTACTGGGTTGGGACTGCAACATGAATTTGGGGAGTGGGATACAATTCAGCCCATAACTGAATACCTCTCCACTCCAAATAGGTCCCATGCTGGGCACCAGGAAGCTAGTGCTGAGCCAGCTACAAAAGGTCTCTGAGTACCCACTGAGGTCCAGGGGAGCTCAGGAGTGCATGATGGGGATGGCAGCTCTGCTGTGGGGCTCACAGAGCCTGAGGAGCTGAATGGCCGAGATCGGAAGGGTGAGGGGTGGATCAGGAGGGTGAAGAGGGCTCCAGGCAGTGGGAACAGTAAGCGCAAATACCTGGAGATGAGAAGACCTGCTTTGTGAAGGCCTGAGGGCAGGGATAGTGAAGGCAGACCTTGGGGAGGAACTGTGGCCTCCCCCTTTCCCCACCCTAGGGGCACCTTCTATTCAAGCCACAGCCTCTGGTTATCATTGTAGTTGCAAAATGTTTACCCATCCAGATTCCATTAATAATTCTGCCCTGTCCAAAAAAAAAAAAAAAAAAATTCTGCCCTGTCCTTTTCTGTGCTGTAAATTTGTAAATTTATGCTCTCAAGTTTGGATTTACATTTTTTTCCTCAGAATTATTAGAATTACAGTTTATCGGGCGCCTGGGTGGCTCAGATGGTTGAGCGTCTGCCTTCGGCTCAGGTCATGGTCCCGGGGTCCTGGGATCGAGTCCGGCGTCGGGCTCCCTGCTCCTTGGGAGCCTGCTTCTCCCTCTGCCTTTCTCTCTCTCTCTCTCTCTCTCTCTCTCTGTCTTTCATGAATAGATAAATAAAATCTTTAAAAAAAAAGAATTACAGTTTATCTTGAATTTATAGGCTCTTCTGACTGCTGATGGAATTTGCCTGGACAAGATAAACTATCCCCCTTTTTCACAGCTGGCCATAACTAGAAGCCAGTGGGCACCCGAAAGATGTAATTTGCAAATGTTACTTCTTTTTTTTTTTTTTTTAAGATTTTTTTATTTACTTTGACAGAGAGCTAGAGAGCACAAGCAGGGGGAGCAGCAGAGAAAGAAGGAGAAGCAGGCTCCCCGCACAGCAGGGAGCCCACCGTGGGGCTGATCCCAGGACCCTGGGATCATGACCTGAACTGAAGGCAGACACAACGGACTGAGCCACCCAGGTGCCCACAAATGTCACTTCTAACAAATGTCTTTGAATCCCTGGATATTCAACTAGGGATCCCCAGATCAGCAGCATCAAGCTCATCTGTTAGAAATGTGGAGTCTGGGGGCACCTGGGTGTCTCAGTCGGTTGCGTCGGACTCTTGATTTCGGCTCAGGTCATGATCTCAGGATCGGGAAATCAAGCCCTGTGTTGGGCTCCACCCTGAGCGTGGAGCCTGCTTGGGATTCTGCTCCTCCCTACTCTCACAGTCAATCAATCAATCAATCAATTCTTTTTTAAAAATTAAAAAAAAATAAAATGAAGTTAACCACAACCTGTTTCTGGAAGGTTGCACATGAGCCTGCTCTCCTTAGGACCACCGTGGGGGTTATTCCTCTGGTTCTCTTTCACCCATCTCTGCCCACCTGCTTCCTGTCCCGAGGTCCTCACTGGTGTTCCTTATCCAGGCAGGCGAGAGTGTCAGTCCGGGGGCGCCCAGGGGGCTCAGTCGGTTAAGCGTCTGCCTTCGGCTCAGGTCCGGATCCCAGGGTCCTGGGATTGAGCCCCACATTGGGCTCCTTGCTCAACAGGGAATCTGCTTCTCCATCTGCCTCTGTCCCTTCCCCCCTACTCCTGCTCTCTCTTTCAAATAAATAAATAAGATCTTAAAAAAAAAACAGTGTCAGTCTGATGGATCTTTCTCTGTGTAAACCTTCCATGGCTTTCACACCCCTTATCATCAGGGCCAAGGCCCTTTGCCTGGTGTTCAAGGCCTTCTGTGATCTGACCACATCTCCCATGCTGTGCTCCAGGCTCACTGAGCAACTGGGAATTCCCAGAACCTGAAATACCCAGGCCTTCTACTTGAAATGCCCATGCCTATCGCTTGGTCATCTGCCTGGAGATCCTTCAAAGGCTTATCTACTTTCTTCCTTGAATGTCAGCTTATCCTTGTCACAATAATGCAGTATATAACCGCAACAATGATAATGGATGACGTCTACACTTATTGTTAATTATGTGCCCAGCACTTTCTAAGTATTATGTGACCTCCGTCCCATGAGGAGATGGAGTCTAGATGGAGTCTAGTCTTCAAGGCAAGAGCCAGTGCCAACCAACAGATGTGTGAATGAAGACGCCTTTAAGATGACTCTAACCCCAGCCAGTGTTTAAGCGAACAAGAACCACCACCAGAAACCAGAAAGAATAATGATTGTTGTTTTTTACCACTGAGTTTTGAGTTGCTACACAGCGATGTATGACCAGAACAACTTGCATTCACTCATTAAGACTCCCAACAACCCTAGGAGAGGAATGATTATCATCCCCATTTGATAGATAAAGAAACAGACTCAGAATGGCTGGGCAACATTCGCAAAGTTACAGCGTGAGTAAATGGTAGAACTGGGATGTTGAACCCAGGTGGACATACTCCAGAGTCAGGGTCGTAGCCACGTCTCTATGGCCAATATATCTTGATTCCCTCCCCAGCACTCTTTAACCATCTGGTTCCAGCACCTGATTTTCCTTTGGGACCACCTCTCCACCATCCTCAGTCCATATGGTTCAGATGGAACTGACCCCACCTTGCCTTCAGGCACAAGCCCATAACCCATATCAGGCCAGTGAGAGTACAGCATCCCTCTGGGCACAGTGATTGGTTTGGTGATGGGCTCACGATGAGGCAGGATCATTGAGTGCCAGCGCTGGAAACTTTGCTGGCTTTACAGAGCAATAGGCCCATTTTAACCACTGGAATCATGTAGTTGCTGGTCCATCTTTGCTGTTGTGAGGAGATCTTGTCCGAAAGTATAGCCAAGAAAAAGATGCAGACAGATTCCTAACATCATTTAAGGACCTAGATACAGCCATTCCTGAAGCTCATCACTGTTGGCGAAAGGTAATTTGAGCTGAGTTTGTCTCTTGTGGCTGAAAGAGGTCTATCTGCTACTCTCGCAGGAGTCTCTTCTCTTACGCCTTTCCATCTTCCCTGAGGGCAGAGAATGGGCCTGATCTATCACAGCAGTGTCTGGGCACAGGAGACATCATCAGTCTTGTTCTATTGAACAGAACTAAAAGGCACTTTGCCCCTGTTTTACTGGTGAGGGGACAGGCTGTCCTAAGGCTCTTGGATAGGAGGAGGATCAGGAATAGCACTTACATCCCAAATTTTAAATCTGAGTCAAGTCCTTTGTCTTAGGTAGTGGACTGCGATTTGGAAGAAAGGGAGGAAGGAATGAAGGAGGCATCAGGCTAGCCACTGTTGGGTCGGCTTACTCAGAGGGGAGGGCCATAAAGGTCTTGAGGTCTATACAAGTCAAGGAGCCTCCTCATGGACCTGGTGGCACACAGTGGGGGAGCATACCTTTTGCCCTTGTCAGCCCCTCTTCTGGACCCCTCTCCATTTCTGACACCTGGATATTCCAAGTTGTGAAAGTGCTCAGAATATAGGCTGTCATTTACATGTTAGTGTGCATCACTTGCTAACTCTGGGACCTGAGGATTTGAAGTGAGACACTGATCACTTTCTGGCAGCTATTCTTGCCACCTATTTCCCCAAGAAGCAGCCACAACACAGTGCTCTAGTTGGCGACTTTATTCGGGGCGAGAGGGGAAGATGAGCTAGAGTTGGATTATTTCTTTGGTCACCTGGAGAAGGGCGAGTCTCCGGGACTGCAGGGAAGCGGGACAGGACTCGAAACTAGAACAGAGCGGGAGAGAGGTGGAGCTCTGGGTGTCTTGAGGGGCCGGGTCAGGGGAAGGGGCTCATCTCACATCCAAGGCCCCGCGCCCCCCTAGGGGCCGCTGCCGCCTCCACTGCCACTCCCGCTGCCCGCAGCATCCAGGATCCAGGTGCGTGAAAGGCGGAAACGCGGGAAGGTGATTTCCCGGGCCTTCCGTTCCTGTCTGGAACCCGGCAGTACCGAGATGGAAATGTTGAGGCAGTGACCGGCGCCAGGAGCTGCCACCGGCAGCGCGTAGCCCAGAACTGAGCGGCAAAGGTCCGCCCCGTCAGCGAAGGTCTGGGAGAGGGGGTGGAGTTAGGGCCCGAGTGGGCGGAGTCCTGATACTCAGGGGCGTAGCCTTAGGGCTGGGGAAGAGGGAGGGCTGAGGGGCGTGGCCTTGGAAAGGGAAACTCCCGGACTTTGCAAGTAGGGGCCAGTGTAGAAGCGCGGTCTAGGGGTGGGCAATTACCCGCTTTGGGTCCTCCCAGGAGTGTGGGGGCGGGGACATAACAGGAGTGGAGTCCTGGGCGGGCGAGTTATTTTTACTGGGTCCCCGGTTGAGGTGGGGGAGGGCCAGATTAAGGCTGGGGCCTTAGGGAAGGTGATTCGGGCTTCTGGGTCTTCCAGGGGGAACTGTGGATGGGCCTAGAGCAGAGACGGTCCCTTGGGGAGGCCAAATCCAGACTCAGTGGGCCCTAAGGAGCGTACAGACGTATCCCACTATGGAGGCTGGGCTGCGGAAGGGGGAAGGGTGGGAGCAGAGGCCTTGGGAGTGTCAGTCCGGATCCTGGGGCCTAGGCGGGTTAAGACTGGACATAATAAGGGGAGGTCCCAGTCTCCCACCCGCATCTTCTGTCTCAAGCTCACCTGCTCATAGGTAGTGCAGCCAGGCTCACAGTCCCTCTTTTCTAGAAGTGAGAGCCAAGTCGGGCCGCAGGTAATATCGTTTTCGCAGGTGGCAAACCTGTGGACGGTGTGTGGAGAGAAGGTGGGTAAAGTCTCCGCAGTCGCATCCTAGTGGGTTTCCTGCCCTCTAAGTCTTCGCTCCGTGTATGTCCCGCCCCCACATCCAGGTCCCGCCTCTTAGGACCACGTCCCCAGGGACGCCATCCTCCAGATTTCACCATGCCCTATATTCTCCACACATACCCAGGGCCCTGGCTCAACTGGCCTCATCCCTGCAGACTTCAGACCATCTAATTTAGGCCAGCCCCTTACACTCCCCACCATTTTAGCTTCTCTTTTCTATCAGGAGGCCCCGCCCCTTAAAAAGCCCAGGTCCATGGAAGGCCACGCCTCCGTACTGCCAATCTTAAAAGCCGGGTCCTTTAGAGGCCCCGCTCCCTTCTACCTGGCCTCTAAACACTAGGCCTCATCTTTAGACCTTGGCCTTGTTGGGAGACAGGCCACGCCCTTTCAAACTCTAGGACTAGCAAACTGCAGATCCTGCCTTTGGTCCTGCCCAAACCATAGGACACGCCCCTTATGCCCCGCCTCCCATACCAGACATCGCAGAGCTCGGAGCAGAGCGGCTGCTCTTGGCGTATCCCCAGTAAGAGCAGGCGGAAGCGACTGTGGAGGGCAACTTGGAGGTGTCCCAGAAAGGATTCGCACCTGAACATCGGGAAAGACAGGCTCGTTTGGGTCAGGATGCACAGGGGCTGGGGCCCTTAACAGGGGCAACTGGGGCAAAGAACACAAGGAAACGCTGGCGAGTACTGTACTCACCCGGGGCTCGGGTCCCCACAGCGTTCTGGGACCATCCCAGGGTCCGATGCCTCTGGCGTGTCCATCTCTGAGGGACAACAGGACCATGGAGAAGGGGACTCCTGTGAATTGGAGTCTTGGATCCTCAGGTAGGATTGGGGAACCAAGGCCTGGGGGTCCCCTGAACATAACCCCAGTTATGTCAGTGCCGCCCAAACGTTAAACTTAAATAAAGACAGTTCTCTTGGGACACAAATGCAATTTCGAATAAGAATAAGAATAATAATAGTTTATCATAATCAGCTTATTTTTTGTTATGTCTCTGATAATGGTGTAAGTTTTCATATACTTACATGTAACCCTTTACAATACCCCTACGAGGTAGGTCTATTATTTTTCTCCCTCTTTAATGGTCTGCATGAAGTCCAGAGAGGTTAAGTGACTTGCTCAGAGTCACACAGTTATGAAGTGGCAGAATTGGGAGTGGGATTTGAATCAAGGCAGTCTGACTCCAGAATCTGAGCACTTTAACTACCATTCTTTTTTTTTTTTAAAGATTTTATTTATTTATTTGACACACACAGAAAGAGAGAGAGAGCGCGCAAGCAGCGGGGAGTGGCAGGCAGAGGGAGAGGGAGAAGAAGGACCCTGGGATCATGACCTAAGCTGAAGGCAGATGCTTAACTGACTGCGCCATCCAGGTGCCCCTTTAACTACCATTCTTCAGCACAAGCCCTGACTCCCCATTTTCCCCCACCCATGCGTCACCCCAAGCTCCTCTCATAAGGAAATTCTGATATTGCTATGGTGAAGTGGGATTTCTTGGGTGTTGGAGGTTAGGCAGGGTCTGGAGTGCTCACCTGCAAGGTGCAGCTGACCTGTGCCAAGATCGGCCACCAGCCTATGATGTCTCCGGGACATAGCTGGGAGTGGGCGGCTTCCTCCACAGGCTCCCAGCAGGATCCATGCGAGGATCAGTCCTAGGGTCCAGGTCAGTCCCTTGGGTCGAGTGTGGCCTCTGCAGGCCATGTCCACCTGAGACAAGAGTCAGCTGGGGTATGTGGTGAGGTTTGGCTGTCCCTTTCTGGGAGGTAAGGGTAGTACCCTCTTGATGCCTACCCAAGAGTCAGTGGCAGAGAGAGCAGAGAAAGAGAGTTGATGGGGAGGCAATGACCACGGATCTTCAAATCCCATAGGGCCTTGAAGTCCTGCCTCTGACCCAGGAGTCCCTTCTCCCCCATCAGACTCATGTCCCCTCCATCCCTTTAGGCCCAAGTGCCCCCTCCTCTAGTTTGACCATGGTGCCCCTCCCCCTCACACCCAGCAGGATCTCCCACCCTGTTGGCCCTCAGGTGATCCCCTCTGTCTTCAGAACTAAAGGGACTCCCCAGCTCTTGCAATCTCCCTCTTCTGTCCAGTAATTCCTCCCTCTCTTCTGCCCAGTCTCCTCCCTCCCGCTTGATCCCCGCTGGCCCCTCTCATGGTCACCTTCTCTCGGCCCACAATCGGCTTAGGGGCTGCCACCAGGGCTGGGCCTTTGGAGCCAAGGTTGGCTGTGGCAGAACTCGAGTTTTGCCACTGGGGTCCAAAAGTCACAAGGTAGGGGAACCTGAGGGTCTATGGAGACAAGAAAATTCCCTCCCCTCCTCTGCCCCCTCTGGCCACTCCTCACCTGTTAACTGGACGGGGGTCTAGGGCGCTGCTGAGACACCTCAGGGTCAAGTGCAAGAAAGAGTGGCAGCCAAAGGAGGTGTGGTTTGATGCAGAGGAGGAGTTTCCCATTGCCCCACCCCCTGCTCCAGCTGACCAAAGGCCAGTGAACCTGGGACTGCTGTGTATATATCCTTGTGTTGGCCTTTATGTTGAAATTGTGGCTTAAACTCTATCTATGTGTATGTGTGTTGGATGAGAGTGTGTTTGTATGACTGTGTGTGTATAGAGAGTGTATGTTTGTTGTGTGAGGGTATAGTATGTGTGTCTCTTGGTTGAGTGGTTGTATGGGTGTGTGTATGTGTTCAAAATCTGGGTGAGGAAGCCTGTATGTATCCCAAGCCAAGTGTGTCCAATTGAGTAAGATATAATAAATGTGAAGGAGGGGGATGTAGGATCAGGATGCCTGTCCTGTGAGAATATTGTGGATAAGTCAGTGGATAAAGGTTGTTGACCATGAATGGTGACCATTAGTGAAAAGGAGGTGTTGACATGTGTGGAGAGGGTGTGTGTCCGTATCTGAAACGTGTGTGTGTGTGTGTGCCTCTGCAGTTTCTGTGAATGTGAGTTTCTTACAAACATTCCCTCAATTCTTCCATTCATTCAACAAATGTTTATGTTTATGGAGCACCTCTTGTGTGTCAGGTTCTGGGGATGCAGGAAGAAATGAAAATCTCAACCTCGAGATGCCTGAGTGGCTCAGTCGGTTAGGTATCTGCCTTCGGCTCAGGTCATGATCTCAGGGTTCTGGGACTGAGTCTCGAATAGGGCTCCTTGCTCATCAGGGAGCCTGCTTCTCCCTCTGCCTGCCACTCCCCTGCTTGAGCACGCTCCCTCTCTCCCTCTCTCTCTCTCTCTGACAAATACATAAAATCTATAAAAAAAATCTCAACTTCACAGAACTTATATTCTAGTGGGAAAGTCTTGTGAGAAGAACAGCCCTGCAGCAGGTTATATGAGTGCGTATGTGTGTCCATGTGTTGTGTGGGGAGGATACTGTGTCTGTGTGTTGGGTAAGAGTTTGTGTGAAGCTGAGCTTCTTTTGGTTTTGGTATTATGTGTGTGTGCTTTTGTCTGTTGAGTGTACATGTTGCTTGTGTGTGTCTGCATTTGCTGAGTGTGTGTATGTCTGTGTTTTCTCAGTATGTGTTTGCATATGTGTGTCTTTGCAGAGTGTGAGTTTATGTGTATATGTGTTTGTGTTTGCTGATTTTGTGTTTGTATTCTGTGTTTTTGTGTTTGCATAAGATTCAGTGTGTCTGTGTTTTCTAAGTGCATATTTGCAAATATATATATGTGTTTGTGTGTGAGTCTGTGTTTGCTGAGAATGTGTATGTGTGTGTATTTTTGAGGAGTACATATTTGCAGAGTGTGTGACTATGTGTATGTGAGTCTGTTTCCTGAGCATGTGTTGGTACGTTCGTGTCTGTGTGTATGTTTGCAGTGTGTGTGTGTGCCTGTGCTGGTAGTGTGTGCATATGCGTTTTTGGGAGCAATGCCTACTACCACAAATCTCCCTCCCTTCTCAGGCTAATGCAGAGTTTTTGTTTGTCTCTTTCACTGCGGAACTCCCAGATATCAAACACTACTTTGTACACGGTAGGTGCTCAGTACGTGTCGAGTAAATTAACGAATCAGGAGGCCCTGCCTCCTGGCCCCTCCAGGGGTACCCACCCATTGATGTCCTATAGGCTTCAGCAACCAAGACCTAGTGGACCTAGCCTTCCCCTGGTCCATTTTGGGGGTAGTCCAGGGTGCTCGTGTGTCAGATCTGTCCAGTCTTTGGGCTGTGACTCCCGCCAACCCTTCCCTCCCCTGACCTCAGCCCCCAACCCTGCCCTCGGAATTCAGCACCGCGGACAGGAGCGCGTGAGATCAGCACCATGGAGAGCTCCCGCGACAGCCTTCTTTAGAAGGGGCGACAAGAGCGGAGTCTGGGCCTTTGACAGCGAAGTTCGAAGAAGAGATTTAGCAGGATGGCAAACAAACATGCCGACAAACAGAGACAGAGAGCATCACTGAGATAACTCAGGCAAAGTTGCAGAGATGAGGAAACAAGTGTTTGGGGAACACCTGGACCTAGACCTTGCCGTCTCACTCATTGGCCGGCAGGGGTCGCTCCCGTCCAGTGACCGCGCCCTCCAGGGCTTTCCTGGTCAGTTAGGGGGAGGGACCCTTGGGAAGCCCCTTCCGCACCCTGTCCCCCAATGCTTGGAGTGGAGAGATCACTAATACTTTCCACACCAACTCTGGGAAGCATGGTCGGCTTGGTCTCAGCTGTAGGAACACTTCGCGGGGGTGTGTGTGTGAAAATCGCTTCAGCTGCCCCCCTCCCAAACTACCAGCTAATCGCTCCTATAAATACAGTCCAGCCTGGCCTGGCTACTTAATCCTGACGGTGAGGGAGGGGGTCTTTAGAGGGGCTGCAGGGTTCCCCGAGGAAGCTCTGATTGGGGAGGGGGGCGGTATATACATGCAAAATGTTTTTCTGTGGGAACATCTCCCGTGAGGATGGGTGTCCTCAATGCGAATGTCACTCTGTAAGAATGTATCTCCTCAGGATGTGGGGGTCTCGTGGGTGGGAACAATTTCCCACAGAGAATATGACTTTTAGGGGGGTCTTTCTTTGGGGGTATCTTCACCAGGCTCTCCACGGGAAATGTCACCCGTGGGGATTTTTCTCTGCGGAAGTGTCTTTTCTTGGGGGCGGCAGGGGGCTTTTGAGAGGAAACGCTACCTCTCAGAGATCATCTGTCTTAGGAATGATTTTCAGGGTGAGGGGGTAGTTTCTGATTGGAGAGGACCTCCCGGTGGAGACTATCAACCCGTGGAAATGTGTCTCCCTGAGGGGGTCGCTGCGGGAAGGGGTGGGTATCCGCATAAGGAATAATCTTAGTGAGAATGTCTCCCTTGGGTGTTTCTTGGGTTGGAGGTCTACCCATGGGCATGTCTCTCCCCTGGGGTATCTCTGCTTATAGGGGTCTCCCCGTAGCTTGGCTCCCTTGGGGACATAGGGAAGCTCCTCCCCCTCTTGCCCCCTCCCACCCCGCCGCGCGGGCAGCCTTGGCCGAGGCCCGGCTCGGGCGCCCAGACGCAGTGACGGCGCCGGGTCCGCCCCACTTTGCTCCGCCCCCGCCACCCCCACCCCACCCCCCACCCGCCGCCGCCGCCGCCGCCGTCCCCGCGGCTTCTCACTCCCTCCCTCTTCCCTCCTCCCGCCGCCGCCGCTGCCGCCACCTCCCTCCTCCCTCCCCGTGGCCGAAGCCGCCGCCGCCATGGACGATTCGGGCCTGATCCGCCGCCGGAGGCTGCAGGTACGCGGCGGCCTCGGTCCCGGGTGGCGGGGAAGGGGTCGGCGCCCTGAGGCGGGGCCCGGTAGGGGGCGGGAGAACTTGCGCGGGGGCCGGCCGGGGCGCCCCCTCCCACCGCCTCGGGACGCTACCAGAGGGGAACGCGGTAGCCGCGCGTCCCGCCGCGCTGGCGACCCCGCCCCTCAGGCGCCGCCCCGGGATCCAGGGAGCCGACGGAGGGGGTGCAGCCTAGCGCTCCCCCTCGAGGATAGCCTGAGGGGCACCTGGCCCGCTGGAGGAGGAGGGGGCTGGGACCGAAGTCATCGCCAGGGCGCAACGCCAGGTTGGGGGTGATGGGGTGCAGAGCAAAGTTATTGCCCCAGGGCTCGCGCCCCTCGGGGCCACCGGCGCGCCGCAGAGGCCGTAAACATGTTTATGCTGCAGCCTAGCCCCTCACTACCCCAGGAACCCCTTTCTGAGGCTTGGGGAACCCCTTCGACCTCCATGCATCTGCCGGGCCACCAGGATTCTTCCTACTGCCCTAATTGGACAGACACCCTAGACAGCCTCCCTCCTCACTCTTCATTCCCCCTCCTTTCACTACCCGCCCCCCGCCCCCCCCCCGCGAGATCCTCAAGTCCAGCCCAGCTTGTGGGTGGGCGGGAGCGATTTTTAGCTCCTTGCAGCCTTAGAAGATACTGGTCTCCAGGCTGCGCAGGCGCGGGAGTGAGTCCACTGCACAGAGTGGGACACTGAGGAATGTGGAGTGTGGGGAAATCCACGCGTCAGGAACTCCTACCTTAAAGATGGGTGGGGATTCTGAAGCTCAGAAGGGTCCTCTTCTACTATCTTTCTCGTGAGCTTCTAAGGGTTAATAGGAAGGTTCGATGTTGCTCTTAAACTGACCCCAGCGAGGAAACTGATCAAAGCTTCACCCCAAGGCCTGCCTGGGGTCTGGTCCTTGTGAGGCTTCCTGGACCCACGCTAAATAATCTGGAGTTTAGATAAAGCCTAGGTGGCCCCAGACTCAAGGTACATACC